CATGCTGGCTGGGGAATTCTGGGAGTTGAAGTCCACCTGTCTTAAAGTGGCCAAGGTTGAGAAACACTGGTCTAATAAATCAAGAGAATCAGGCTGGGAAAGGTAAACTTGTATTTCAATAGAAGAGAACATACATAGTTCAGGGTTGAACTAATCCCGCAGGGATTAACACCAACAAACAATCAATCAAAAACAATACCCTAATCAAGGAATTACCACACCCTCGCCAACATGAGGGTATATAAACAGGGAGCAAACCCCGCACTCACTAGCACTGATGATGTTACCTAGTCAGATAATGAAACGTCTGCAAGCAAATAACCAAGCTCAGAGAGCACCAAGGACTCCATACTTCTGTTTTTCCCATAGTACAATGGAAAATATTATTGTATAAACTTTTGGACAAATAGCTTGTTCATTAAAATAGCTAATGCTACAATACCAATATGCCCATTAGTTTCTAAGATTTGATCCTGCACCCCTTGTCTTTTTCATTAATTGTCCTCTAAGAATGAGTTGCAAACCTTTTATTAGTTATATTTCTTGGTATGCAGACTGAGAACCAAATGAACAGGACTGCTACTGAGTTGCAGGCCTTTCCAGAAAAACTGTCCGTGCTGGCAGATGAAATAAATTCCCTGAAGACCAAAATGAAGATGAATAGAATCCAAGCAACAAATGCAAGAGCAAAGGCAGAAGAAGCACAAAATCAAGCAACAGCAAGTAATAAGGTAATATACCAATTAAATGTCCTTGTTCATCCCTCTGGAGCTTTCATTTACAGATTCCTAATTTCTGAACTTTGGTGTTGGAAAAGACTCCTGAGTATACCATGAATAGCTAAGAAAACAAATGGATCATTGAACAAATCAACCCAGAGTTCTCAGTTGAGGCACAAATGGCTAGACTTAAATTATATTTTGGACACATTAATGCAAAGACCTAGCTCCTTTGAGAAGTCCACAATGCTGAGAAATGTGGGAGGAAAGAGAAGATGAGGACAACCAGATTGACTATTACAATGGTGAATTACACTGTTGGAAGAGCTGAAGGGCCAGATTGGGGACAGTTCATCCTGGAGAAGATCTATGTATGTGGTTGCTAAGAGTCAACATTGACTTGATGGGGCATAATTAATCAATCAATTGTGTTTAAGGCTGCAATCCTATACTGCTTACTTGACAGCTAGTGTCATTGAATTCATTTGAATTTACTTAAGAACACCATAGAATTGCAAAAAAAAAAAAAAGGAAAAAATTACATTCCTTGTTTTTTAGGAATCTGCTAATCTTAAAAAAGAATACAGCAGCTTGCAAGAAAAACTCCAGACCAGTGGACTTCCATTAGAAACCTTGCAGAAACTGAACTGGTTGAAAAAAGAGGCAGAAGAATTGGCCAAGGAGACTGCAGAGAAAGCAAAAAGAATCACAGGTAGTGTACGTGCCTTGCTTATACGTACATTTACCAAAAATTTACATGGTGTGAATATTTTTATGTTGTAATAGTCTAAGGCCATAAAGTTTCTCTGTCTTGTTCCTATAGAAGACTTTGGAAATATTGGGGGGGGGGGGGACAGGAAGGGAGGCAACCCCTTTTTAAATATTTACTGGCTAGGGAGGACAAACAGTCAGATACTTAATTCCTATGCAAGAAATATGGCAGAATGGACCAGGGCAGACACTTACCTGTTCGAAGAATAGAACTGGAAAGGAATCCTACTGATTTTCTAATCCAGTCCTAATTCCATAACAGAGTTAATGGTCCTTCCCTACTTGTGGAAGGGCCAAGAGTGTAATTCAGCCTTGGAATTTCCTACACCTCTTTGCTGCTCTTGAATGGCTCTCTGGATTTTTGCAACCCAAATATAGTCTGACAGCTGTCAATGCAAATTCCTGCAACTGGATTGGGCACAGATCCCTTTCAGTTCCAAAACTGTAACCTTAACACAGCTAAGCAGATAATATAGCTTGACCTCAAGTCAGATAACTGGGGATTAACTAAGTTTTATATAACTGATTGGTTCAGATTTACTGTACATACCTAACAATGTATACTTTTTACTTTTGTTATTTCAGATTTAGAAAAGAAGATACAAGGTCTGAACCAGATCAAACGAAAAAAAGCTGATCAGCTGAAGCAACTGGAGGATCAAGTTATAGCTATTAAAAATGAGATATCTGAGCAATCGAAGAGATACGCTGTTTGTAAAAGTTAGACTCTAAGAATTTAACGGATCAGTTGGGAATCACTGAACACCTCTATGTAAATGTAATAATGATTAACATTATATAAGTTGCATTGTTAATTATAATATAAAGGTGGTACAGTATACTGTGTTGTTATTATATGGTGGAAAATAGTCTTCAGTGTCCTTTAATTCTAAGGGTATATTCACACTTACTGTTTAAGCTGCTGCTATCAGGGGCTCATGCCAGCTTAACTCTAGGCCAGTTTAAGAAAATCTTTTCTAGGCTGAAACCTTTGGCAACAGCTTGTAAGGTACTGGACAATAGACCATCACATCCTCCCCTGCTGATGAGTCTCCCACCTTTCTGTTCCAGTGAAGCAATTGCCCGACTCTTTCCTTCTTGTGAGCAGCTCCTCCCGGACATATACTTTCATTTTATACATCTGCTAATTTGTCTATAAATATATGTATATGTATTAAACAAAGTTAAAACATCAAAATGCACATATGTAAGCACAACAGGCAGCTTAAAAATCCTTTCTTACTGCCCTCCTTCTTTTTAATCTCTTTTAAACCTATCCTTTATCAAGAGAGGTCTAGTAGCACAATGACACACGGAAAAGTAGGAAGTTTAGGGAGAGAAAAAGGCAATTAAATATTCTGCAGGGGTTTAAAACTAGCAACCTTCTATTTGCAAGGCAAGAATAATGGTAATCATGCTATCACAGCACTCATGGTTAAAGAGGCAGCTTTGAAAGAGTTAGAGATCATGGTAAAATAATGATTTACTTTAAGGGAGATCCCTTCCTCTGCATAATAGCCAATAAACTGCTGGGGTTAGCTTGCAACTGACTAAACTGGACTCTCTGGAATGAGCAGGAGCCTCAAAATGACATAGTGCTTTGAAGTGTTCTCCGGAAGCAGAACAGAAAGATGTGATCTAAGGTCACAGAGGTAGTAACAGCTATTCTCAGACAAAATTGTTGCCATTTCTACTGTTAAACTGAAAGAGATTAGTCAAATTTATGTCTATATTTCAAGTTATGCTCCTTGTTCAACTAAGTGGGAAATGATATGGAAAAATATTAAAAGTGTGTAAATTATTTGAAAAAGGTACTTTGCCACTTGCCTCTCTTTGTTTGTTTGTTTGTTTGTTTTAAGATTCTTAAAGCAGTTGGGTCAAATCAGGTAGCTGCTTTCAATGTTCAAAAGAGGTATGTCAAACATACTTCCACACTTTGCAAATTCTTCTCCTGAAATGTTTTGAATGAAGAGCTGAAATGCATGCATGCACAGACGTAAAAGTTTTCTTCTCTGTAAGATTCCAGGTGTGTATACATAAAGCATTGTTCAACACTCCCCAAAATCTGCTAAAACTATGCTAATACTTCTTTGCACATAATAACTTAAAGTTAAATAAAGATTAAAATGACTGGGACTGTTGTTTTAATAACCTAAGATATTAGGTAGATAGATAGAATTTGTTACCGTCACAGACCACAGTTAAACTTTTATTCGAACTGCAAGTTATAACAGCACCACATACAGGATTTATACACACACACTTACATCCAATAATATAAACTATATCAGTTTACTTTTGTTGAGTCTGTTGTTTATTGGATCGTTTTAGTCTGGGCTGTCTGTCTGATTTAATGTAGTTAGCTGTTTTAATGGGTTTTTTTACAGTTTTGTATGCTGCCCAGAGGCTACTAAGGTAGGCCAGCCAATAAATTTAAAATAATAATATTTCATAAGATATTCATTAACATGCTCCTTTGATGGGTGCCACAAAGAATGGAAGCTTACCGCAAGGTCTGATGTTCCATACCTCTTCAATCTTAATAGCAAACAGAGCTGGGATGTGAGATAGTTAAGAACCCAGTAGATTAAGTTTGTATCCACTTTGGTATCTAGCACCAAGTTAGACTGAATCTAAACACCCTTTTCCATCCAGATCAGGAGTGATTTACTTTGAAAGGAGCTTAGAGTAGGTTGACGCCAACTCGGAGTGACGCAATTTATGGGGCAGATCACGTTGCTTGCATGACTCAAGTGAAATCGGGTGTATTGCCTTGGGACATAAAGTGCCTTAGGGGACAAATAACAGTGGCCTCAGTTATTAGGAGTTGAATAACAAAATCTGAATCAGTGCTTTGCAGGTAAGGAGGTATGGGGCTAGAGCAGTATTTAAAACACTAGGTGGCAGCAATAACTTTCTCAATGCTTCCTTCATATCAATGTGTTCCAAAGGTATGACATTATTCATATTTTAATGAACAAATCAAATAAAATATTTTGGAATTTGGAACTAGTTACTCTTACCATTAATTGATGGAATCAGGGGGCTGAAACCAAGGTGATGGCTACTGAGGAAGATAGCAGTTATTAAAATCGCCTGTACAATTATTCCATCATATTACAGAAGGCTGAGTAAAATCTGTAAGCCATCACAAAAAGTAGGTTTCTATTTGCTAGGAAAATGTGATGGGTCTAAATCAATTATGGGAAGAGATTTTTTTTTTCATCGCTTTGCAACAGCTCAAGTATAGCTTAGTTTATTTTTTATTTGCAACACTTCAAAGACCAGCTCACACATAGCATAGGAGAAACCAAACAAGTCACAGTTACTGTAATGTAGGAAGTTAATCTGTTTGTCCAGTTAGCCCACCATAGACCATTCTGATCAACAGTGACCTTCCAGGGGTCAGCAGAGACCATATGCTACCTGATTTAAAAAAAAAAAAAAAAAACTACCAGAGACTAAGAGTAGTTCCCCAATAATACAATTTTTACTCCCTGAAAAAGTTTGCAGCCTACAATAAATTTCAAAGTTTTTCTTGCAATGCTGAGAAAAAGGAACCCCTAGTTACTTTAAGTTCTATAGTAACAAAAGCCATCTTTTTCCTCCCCGACATTCCACACAAAAGGAAATATGTACCTTGTGTCCACCTCCAATTCATGTTCTTATTAGAGTAGTATGAGTTTTTCTGGACATGTGCAAAGAAAATCCAAGCAGTGCCCAGGAGGGGAGCTGAATGGGTGTCAAGCCACCTTTCCCCTTGGAAGATCTGAGGCCCAGCAGCTAGGAACTAGAAGGCATGGTGTGGCAGAAGTTCCTGCAAGTGGGGAATTGGAGCCCATAAGCTCCATGAAACACTGCAGTTTAGCCAGAAATAAGTCAGCTTCATTTTCAAACACAGCAAACACTTGGATTTACAGAGGTCTGGAGCTGCTTTCAAATTGGTACAGAGTCCTTGTGTGAAATTTCTTGAATATAACCTTTTGTACATTGAAAAAAAACAATGTTTGGTTTTCATATTGTTTCATAGGCCATTGTTAAAGGAATCATTTAAATTTTCACAGAAGAAAATGAAGCAGTTAGCCCTTCAAGGAATCTGAAACATCCAATTCCAGAATGTTATTAAAATTACAAATATCCGACTTGTTTATACCTCAACTCACAATAATTTATGACACTAAGAAGTTGGAATTTCCTTTCAGATGGGAATATAACTTCTGCCCTAACTCTTGTTCTGACTTGGCTGATAACGCAAAATCATTGTAGCTTTAGACTTTGTCACTAATGACTTTCCCATTGGCAGTAATCCTTTTTAACAAACAGATTTCATTCTTAGATTATTCCAATCACCAGATGTAGAAAAAAAAAAGTTATAAGGCTTTCCTTCCTCCTACAAGTTGTAACACTGGGAAAGTTGTCTAGAGTATTTCTAAATAGCCAGTAAGCCAAGATTTTTATCCAGTAAAGATAAAACATTCTCAGCCTGGAATTTTATCTTGTTGTGGCATCCATTATCATTCAATAGAGGATTTATAGCAGGATTTTATAAATACATATGTTAAAACAGATGAAAAGAATGCTATAGTGTCCCCATAGTGAAAACAATGCATGATATATTTGATCACATCTAACACAGCACTCTTATAGGAATGTAAAATAGGAAGGGGTATAAGTTTTACTGCAGATTTCCTGTCTTTTAAAATTATTAGTACATAGATGACTCCCTTACATGTTTCTACACTGAAACACAGAAAGAAACAAGACCAGCAATGCGGATCACGTGGTACCTTAGCACTGATTACAGCCTTTATCAGCATATTAATAGATATAAAATATACTTGATTAACCAGATATGTCCAATTTTAATCTATAGAGCTTTAAATTAAGAGTTGGTTTAAGAGATAGACATCTTTGTTTTGAAATTATGACGCCAAATTCCATTATTTGGAGAAAATGAGAAAATGTTAAGTTTACACATGGAGTGATTTTACATTATAGGGACATTATGCATAGCTTTTTAAAGTACTAATGGAAATTAGAAGATAAGAATATATGCCTGCAGCTTTACTGTATTCCATATGGAAACAAATGGATGAAACTGGAATAAATGAAAAGAGTACATTAAAGAATATATTGCAATACAGAATGCAAACCAGGTATTTTCTACACTTGTTGAAGATGGCTAAATCTGTTGAGGTAGTCCTCATTTAGTAACTGTCTTGGTTAGTGACTATTCGCAGTCACGACGGTGATGAAAAAGTAACTTTGCAACCAATCCTTGCATGTGCGACCTTTGCAGGTCTGTAAAGCAAAGGAGAACTGAAGTAAGATCATAAGCACAGTTGCAGTTTCACTTAGTGACCGCTTTGCTTAATTGGGAGCTGCCAGTCCCAATGGTGGTCGTTAAACGAGAACTACCTGTAAGTATAAAATTGCAACATTATAGGTGCAATGTGTTTACCCATTAGTAAGCTTACTAAGTTCTACTGGTCTTTCTCCAGGAAAATGTACATATGTGTGTTGTGCAATATGCAGTAGAATGTATAAGACTGCATTCTAATGTACTTAACTTTCAATAAGTGTGAATAAGAATTTAGGAAACTTCTATTTCTATTACATTTCTATTTCATTTTTTTAAAGATCGATGGAGTAATCCTAAAGCTTTCGGCTGCAATTCTCTGAACCTTTCCCCACTAATGACTCTTAGCGTGTGGGGTGGGGGGTCCTCTCCCCTTATGTTTAGCTTTCTTTAATCATTGTAATATATGCAGGTTTTCTTAATTGTACAGCCACTGATGTATTATTTGTGATTGCTTATTATGGTTCACTAATAAAAAATACTTTTGTATAAAGTAACTTTTTTATGCAAGTAAAAATATTTTTCTGCTCTAATAGTGGATATTCTGGTTCCAGTGAGACACTCTTATTTCATTTCTTTTCTTTTGATAGAAAAAAGACAGGAGAAAAGGTGGGAAAACACAGGGAGTGTTGTTTGGAAAATTCCATGCATAAACAGGTTAACTGGAAAATTCCATGTTAGAAGAGAGGAATGCTATGGAATCCGTTTCACCTGGAAGCAGATGTAGAAGGAAAAATATATTTATTGTATTCTGAGCTGCTCAACTCCTTGCTGAATTTGGAATTTGCAAT